CAACTTTGAGTTCTATAGATCATCTCGAAATCCTCAATTGTTGTGTCCAAGGTTTTCGTCCTCCATTGGTAAGAGGTCCTTTTTTGTTAGGGCGGTGAGATTGTGGAATCAGCTTCCTTTGGCCTTACGTACTTTTGCCTATACCAATTATCTGTTTAGGTTTAAAGTAATTGAGCATCTTCGCCTAAATATGTAAGCTATGTTTTTGTAGTGTTTGCGTCGGTTTATTATGGGCTGTTTTGTTTTTCTGTTGGGCTGGGGAGCTATTATATTATCTCCCTAATTAATTGAAAGTTACTATTTATACTCTGTTTTTAGTGAGTAACAGAGGGCTGCAACGAGTATGCAAAAAATCAATCAAACATGAGCGTTCGAGACGGTTTGATGTGTTCAGTAACATGAGTTGATCGAACACATAAATGTAAATGAGAAATCACAACCGTGATTGTCTTCTTTGAATCGAGTTCGCTCAGCTTCATTGTTTATTCAACCATTTAATCAAGTTGGGACAGTTTATTTTGACTTTTTTTATATTTGAAATGGAAGAATATTGTGATAGTGCGACCGAAAATGTTGCAAGTAGAAACTACACACGTGTAGATAAACGAAAAGGTCGAAGTGAAAAATCTTGACCAATATTGTAAAATAAAAAATATTTAAAAATTTTTGGTTTACTAAATACCAATGCCAATTATTAAAAATATTATTTTTTTTTTTTCAAATTAGTTACTGAAATCTGGCATACCAAAAACACACATAAAATGAAAAAATTGTATGTTTATTAAATATAATATGTACCAATTTCTTTTCGTTATAAAATCCTTAGTAAAATTACAATTATGATATCGCTCAAATTCGAACATTTGTATTTTAATCAAACCAAATCACTCACTTAACTAGGATAAATCAAACCGATCAGACTCATCGTAGCTGATCGACTCGTTATGAACAATTCAACATAAGTTCGTAAACAAATAACTCATGTGAGCTGTTTGATTGCGAACACAAAACTTCGATCAATACATGTTTGATCACAACAACAACATCTGACCGACTGATTGAGTTTGATTGTATTTCCACTGTGTGTGATCAAGCCTACTCAGTCATACTCATTGCAACCCTCTGGTGAGTAATAAAATAGTTATCTTTTTTAGCTCGATTTTGCTACACTTTTTCACTGCCTAAGTAGACTATTGTTTAATTGGTGATGGTGAATTGAGGTGTTGGGTTCGAGATTTTAGTGAATTTATAATATAAATTACAAGTATTAATATGTTATTTGTTAAGTTTGAATTAAACATTGAATTTGTATTATATAGCATTTTCAGATTAAATGAAACCTTTTGCAATTGAAATGAAACTTTTTGCATCGGAAATGAAACCTTTTGTAGTGGAAATGAAACCTTTTGCAGTGGAAATGAAACCTTTTGCAACGGAATTGAAACCTTTCGCAACCGAAATGAAACCGTTTGTAACCGAAATGAAACTTTTAGATTTATAGAAGGAAAAAATACCAAAACATTTTTATTTTTAGTAGGTTTAAAATTATATCAACTAATTATAACTAATATATAGTTAAAAGGAATTTTTATTGATTACTAATATCTACATTTTTTATATTATTACTTAAATTTTCAATTCTTGTAAAAACAAATGGTTCTTTTTTGATTTGATATAAAATATATCCATATTATTGAATTTCTAATTGCTCAACGCTAAAAAAACAAATTTAAACAAATTTAAACAAATTTTGGCCTTAATAGGTATGGACAGGACTGAAATGCGAAATTAAGCTTTACTGCAATATTTTATAGTTATAGTATACTATTAATCTTACTTAATAAAGGATTCCAGCTTCGCAGTGTTATTGATTATCGAGATTATAAATTTCAATACCAAACATCCTAGACACAATACAATGTTGTGCCAATTTTCAAAGCTCTTCATCAAATCTCAATATCGTGATTTCAATAGACAGACTGGTGGACATCATTAAATCATCTTTGATCATGATTGTATATACTTTATAGGGTCTACGACGAATATTTAGAGGTATTACAAACGGAATGACAAATTTAATATACCCTGCTTTCCATGGAGGAGGTTATAAAAAGGTGTCTTTTGGAGAAAAGACCTTAAAAAACTTTTTTATGGAACCTAAAATTTTAACAAATAATGTTATAAAAACATGGACATTAATGATCAATAAAATTACTCTTTAACTATATATTAGTTATAATTAGTTGATTTAATTTTAAACCTACTAAAAATAATTTTTTTTTTGTAATTTTTCCTTCTATAAATCTAAAAGTTTTATTTGATTTGCAAAAAGTTTCATTTTGGTTGCAAAAGGTTTCATTTCCGCTGCAAAAGGTTTCATTTCCACTGCAAAAGGTTTCATTTCCACTGCAAAAGTTTTCATTTAATCTGAAAATGCTATATTAGGGTATTGTAGATATAGCATTTTCAGATTAAATGAAACCTTTTGCAATTCAAATGAATCTTTTTGCAGCGGAAATGGAACCTTTTGCAGTGGAATTGAAACCTTTTGCAGTGGAAATGAAACCTTTTGCAGTGGAAATGAAACCGTTTGCAGCGGAAATGAAACCTTTTGCAACCGAAATGAAACCATTTGCAACCGAAATGAAACTTTTTGCAAATCAAATGAAACTTTTAAATTTATAGAAGGAAAAATAACAAAACATTTTTATTTTTTTGTTGCAAAATCGTCAGGCAAAATCCCATTATTGTTGTTTTTATAAAAACAACGTTTGTTTATGAGTGGAGAACGATGGTAATGTTTACCAGGGGGGTAAGGCAGGGAATACCTAGGTTTCGGAAAGAGCCACCAATCCTCATCAGTTCCCTTCCCAACATACCAAATTGACTTGAGAATAATCCCAACATACCAAAAATACAATACAGCTTGAGAATAATATTATGAAAATAGTTTATCATAAGAATTTTTCAACAATGCTTGAGAAACACTTTTTTGCACAAACTTTTCGCAAATCTGTCCTTTGTTGACAAATTTGTTTTGATTTTTTTTGTGAAAATTGTCAACAAAAAATTATTTTCTTTGGTTAAAATCAAAATCACGCGAATTTAAGACCCATTTCTGGACGAAACTCTAAGGTAATGATGAATAATAAATCTGGGAATCTGTAGTGTATATTATTTCAATCTCATTTTAGAATAGAGGCGTCAAAAAGTTGCAAGAATTCAAGAGAAGTGAAGAATTAGTGGAGGAGATGCGGAAGCTCAAATAAGGGGAAAGAAATCATCTAGGTATCAATGCAACAGGAGGCAGCGACAGCTGGGATGGCGATCAATGAATGAAATGTGTAAAATAATTAAAAAATGAATAAATAAATATTTTTTACCATTGAAAAAATAAGCTTTATAAAATATTACTTTCGTAAGCTTATTCTGCAATTACAAGAATAAGCTTATGAATAAGGGTTCCTTTTCGATTATTCTATAATTGTTAAACAAACATTTCTCAATACATTCTCAAGATTTTCTCAAGCTTTAGGCTTATGTTTGTAAGCTTATTAAAATATTATTCTCAAGTCAATTTGGCATGTTGGGATATTTTAATAAGCTTACAAACATAAGCCTAAAGCTTGAGAAAATCTTGAGAATGTATTGAGAAATGTTTGTTTAACAATTATAGAATAATCGAAAAGGAACCCTTATTCATAAGCTTATTCTTGTAATTGCAGAATAAGCTTACGAAAGTAATATTTTATAAAGCTTATTTTTTCAATGGTAAAAAATGTTTATTTATTCATTTTTTAATTATTTTACACATTTCATTCATTGATTGCCATCCCAGCTGTCACTGCATCCTGTTGCCTTGATACCTAGATGCTTTCTTTCCCCTTATTTGAGCTTCTGTATCTCCTCCACTTATTCTTCACTTCTGTTGAATTCCTGCAACTTTTTGACGCCTCCATTCTGAAATGAGATTGAAATAATTTATACTACAGATTCCCAGATTTATTATTCATCATTACCTTAGAGTTTCGTCCGGAAATGGGTCCTAAATTCGCGTGATTTTGATTTTAACCAAAGAAAATAATTTTTTGTTGACAATTTTTACAAAAAAAATCAAAACAAATTTGTCAACAAAGGACAGATTTGAGAAAAGTTTGTGCAAAAAAGTGTTTCTCAAGCATTGTTGAAAAATTCTTATGATAAACTATTTTCATAATATTATTCTCAAGCTGTATTGTATTTTTGGTATGTTGGGTTGTTTCTTGTCTGGGATATTCTCCCCAGAAGTTATTTTAAAAAATAACTTCTATGACAAAAAACATATTTTTTTACCTAAGTGACGAGTTTTTAGTAGTTTTTAAATTAAATCAATTAATAATTAATAATAATATAACTAATATATTGACAAAGAGGATTTTTTATTGATTATAAATATTTACATTTATATATATTATTTCTTAAATTTTCGATTATTGTAATAACAAATGGTTCTTTATTGATTTGATATAAAATGCTTCCATATTATTAAATTCCAAATGATTAACGCTAAAAAGAGAAATTTAAACAAATTTTGACCTTTATAGGTATGGCCAGGACTGAAATATGAAATTAAGCTTTTCCACAATTTTTATAGTTATGGTATACTATTAATCTTACCTAATAAAGGATTCCCGCTTCGCAGCTTTATTGATTATGGAGATAGAGCAGTCGTGATTTCAATAGATAAGTGGAAATCATTAAATCAACTATTATCATGATTGTATATACTTTATGGGGTCTACGACGAATATTTAGAGGTGTTACAAACCGAATGACAAATTTAATATATCCTCCTTTCCATTGAGGAGATTATAAAAAGATACCTAATTCGGGTCCTTTGAAAAAAATACCTTGAAAAACATAAATATTAATAATCAATAAAAATTATATATATATTATAAAACTATATATTATTTATAATTAGTTAATTTAATTTTAAACCTACTAAAAATAAAAATGTTTTGTTATTTTTCCTTCTAAAAATCTAAAAGTTTCATTTGATTTGCAAAAAGTTTCATTTCGGTTGTAAAAGGTTTCATTTCGGTTGCAAAAGGTTTCATTCCCGCTGCAAAAGGTTTCATTTCCACTGCAAAATGTTTCATTTCCACTGCAAAAGGTTTCAATTCCACTGCAAAAGGTTTCATTCCCGCTGCAAAAAGTTTCGTTTGAATTGCAAAAGGTTTCATTTAATCTGAAAATGCTATAGATAATATAAGTTATGGGCCCTGTGGGCTTATTTATAGCATTTTCAGATTAAATGAAACCTTTTGCAATTCAAATGAAACTATTTGCAGCGGGAATGAAACCTTTTGCAGTGGAATTGAAACCTTTTGCAGTGGAAATGAAACCTTTTGCAGTGGAAATGAAACCTTTTGCAGCGGGAATGAAACCTTTTGCAACCGAAACGAAACTTTTTGCAAATCAAATGAAACTTTTAGATTTATAGAAGGAAAAATAACAAAACATTTTTATTTTTAGTAGGTTTAAAATTAAATCAACTAATTATAACTAATATATAGTTAAAGAGGAATTTTTATTGATTATTAATATCTATGTTTTTATAAAATTTTTTCTTAAAGCTTCCATTAAACACAAGTGTAGATGCAGAAAGATTGAAAAAAGTTTTTCAAGGTATTTTTTTCAAAGGACCCGAATTAGGTGTATTTTTATAACCTCCTCCATGGAAAGGAGGATATATTAAATTTGTCATTCGGTTTGTAACACCTCTAAATATTCGTCGTAGACCCCATAAAGTATATACAATCATGATCATAGTTGATTTAATGATTTCCACTTATCTGTTTATTGAAATCATGACTGCTCTATCTCCATAATCAATAAAGCTGCGAAGCGGGCATCCTTTATTAGGTAAGATTAAGTATACTATAACTATAAAAAATTGTGGTAAAGCTTAATTTCTCATTTCAGTCCTGGCCATACCTATAAAGGTCAAAATTTGTTTAAATTTCTCTTTTTAGCGTTAAGCATTTGGAATTTAATAATATGGAAGCATTTTATATCAAATCAATAAAGAACCATTTGTTATTACAATAATTGAAAATTTAAGAAATAATATAAATAAATGTAGATATTTATAATCAATAAAAAATCCTCTTTGTCAATATATTAGTAATAATTAATTGATTTAATTTAAAAACTACTAAAAATAAAAATGTTTTGTTATTTTTCCTTCTATAAATTTAAAAGTTTCATTTGATTTGCAAAAAGTTTCATTTCGGTTGCAAATGGTTTCATTTCGGTTGCAAAAGGTTTCATTTCCGCTGCAAAAGGTTTCATTTCCACTGCAAAAGGTTTCAATTCCACTGCAAAAGGTTTCATTTCCGCTGCAAAAAGTTTCATTTGAATTGCAAAAGGTTTCATTTAATCTGAAAATGCTATATATGTCTTTGTAAGGTAAATAAATGAAATGAATTCGAAATAATTCCATTTTATTTTTTTTTATATCAAAACAATACAGAGTAGGTTTATTTACTATCTTTCTATATTTCGAAAAAGAGGTGGACTATGACTGTTGTGGCAGCATCTATGGGTGTCTAAACTCATAGGAATATATATTTTAAATACTACTACCTCAGGGGTTATTGGCAAAATCGCAGCCAAAATTACAAAATCAGTCGTATTTGTATTTAGGCTGTAGCTTTGATTTGCCTCCTGTAATTATGATATGGGACAAATCATCCAAGAAAACAACCATCTACTTTTTCATCGCATGTTCCTCCATTTTGGATTATATCGATATAATGGATATAGGCCGTAGGTCATAAGAATTTTTTGACATTCCACACCCTCCAGACGGTATTTAGATAATAAAGTACGAAGATCGGTTAAATAATTATTACGTTGATCTTAACGGGTTTTCCATTGTGAGGAATATAAAAAGGGGCCGCAAATTCTATTGGAGAATCAATCTAATTGTGTATTTCAACTAGTATGCCTTTTATTTGTATGTATATGATGTTATATCTATTGGTCTGTTCCAGATAATACTATGCTAACCGAGTTCCCTTTATGATATTGAAAAGAAGCAAAACAAGTAAATATGAACAAATTAATTCTCCAATCCTTAATCACATTTGTTGAAGATTAGACGTGCATGTTTTGCTTTCGTAAATAAATATCATTCCACAAAGAGGTTCCTGCAATTGGTTATGGGCTGGTTTATTTGGAAAGTTGGAGGCGATTGGAGAAAAGTTCTCAGAATGTTGGCTTGTGCTCATGTTGCTAAGCATGTTTACCACCGTCGTTTGATATGTTGATTACAGCATTGGAAGTATGGAAAGTAGAAGAACTGGCTGTGAAAACTGTTGAATCTTGTTTGTTAGAGGAATGTGAACGTCACAAGAAGGATCTGCAAACAATTTCTGTATTGAAGAGTTACAAATCCTACGTCAATAAATCTGAAAAGCAGTGCTATTTCTGTGAAGGAATAAGTCTGATTCCAAAAATCAAGTGAATGAAGCGAAAGAACAAGGAAGGGACAATGGAAATTAATGCTATTCTACACATAATAATACTTCGGCTTGGATTCTCGACTCGGGGGCAACGTGCGACATCAGTTCACAAAGGTCAAATTTTACATCATTGACAACATTCCAGGAACCAGTAACGGTAGCAAACGGTCAAATAGTTAAATCAACCAGAAATGGAAATTGTCAAATCAAGATGATAAATTCTCGAAACGAAAAATGTTATATTACAGTCGAAGATGTGTTTTATCTATTTACATTCAAAGGTAACCTATTATCCGTTTATCGAATTTTAAAGGAAAAAAATTATATTTATGTTCAAAGAAAATTGTGCAAGTATCCAAACTAAAGAAGGAAAGGAAATTGCTATAGCCGAAGGCCTATTTCAGCTTCGCCATGATCAATAAGTTTTGTTCGCTGTATGCCAAGACTATTGGCACAAGGACTTGGCCATAAAGATATCGATGCGCTTAAAGAAATGCAGAACCATAATCTTGCAAATGGGATGTATATTCAGGATTGTGGAATCAGAAAGGTGTGCGAGGTATGTTGTGAACATAAAATAACTAGAAAACCGTTTAGCAAATAATATGAAAAGATGATAACATGTTTCATTGATGATCATACTTGATACACGGTGGTATAACTTTTACATTTACAGGATGAAGTTGGAGAAAAGATTAAATGTTTCAATGAATTTGTTTTAAAATAAATTCGGAGAATATTTGGAAAATAAAGGATCTCAATATCAATATAAGGTTCCATAATGCCCACAACAAAATGGTATCGCAAGAAGGAAAAATTGTACACATGTTGAGATGACTATTAAAAGAAGGAAAACTACCCAATACCTTCTGGGGAGAAGCAATAACGATATCTAATTACATTGAAACCCGTGTTTATATTCTAGAGCAACAGCCAACCAAAAGTACGGTACGGGCTATGATAAGATAATCGCTTCTCCAACTTTACGAGTTTTATTATCCGTCGCCGGAAAATATGAAAGTTATTCATGTTTTTAACTTATGTGATGAAAAACAACGACCGAGTACCTTGAATTTTAGCTAATGCACTGACTGACATGGGTATACGATTTTCCGGTAAGAATTACTCACAGTGTTAAACAAAGTTACACTACGAGGATTAACTCTCTCACATACATATAATGAAAAAGTTACCAACAACATCCCATTTTGTTGGTCATTACATGTTATGACGATGGGTTTGAGTCTGACCGACATGACGAGCCATCGAACATTTGGTTGGATGTCACGTACTGTTATGAGTTTGATCAAACAGGGCATTACATGACGAGCGTTTTCTCTCCATGGCATAAATAGAGAATATTGTCACATTTGCAGCCGTCTAGTCTATACGACGACATGGACCTGCATAGGTAACTTTTGTCATAAGCCATTACAATATTCAAATGCGAAACTTAAAAAAAATCGGTGAAAATGTAGCTAAAATCATCAAAATACCGAATATCGGGAGGTACCATTGTATGGGGGCTATACCAAAACGTGGAACTACATGGCCAATTTTCAATACCAAAAGTCCTGCAGACATAATATACATTTAAGTAACATTTTTCAATCTACTTCAATTCGTTCGGAAGCTAGAGTGATTTCCACAGAAGGACGGACATAGCTAAATCGACATATAATTTTATGCTGATTAATATACATACTTTGTGGGGTCTGAAAAGTATATTTCGAGATGTTACAAACGGAATGACAAACTTAATATACCCTAGATAGGGAGGGTATAATAATCAACGGAAAGTATGTTTTTTTTTTTAATCAGGTGGTTCTCAGCACGCTTTTGCTTAGCCAACATGCTGATTTATGCAGTCGTCCAACACGAATTCGAAAACACATTTCATCGTTTATCAAGAATTTCACATGATTATTCCAATATTTTTCGATGTCACCACGTAATTTTCACTTTTATTTTGGAACAATTTTCCTACAGTTCATGATATTTTAACATTTAAGAATTAAGTTTTTCAATATTCTCGATATAAACGGCAACTGCCGATTAGAATTATTTCAATGATAAACGGTGAGAACTTTCTTTCGTCTATATTTTCATCAATCTATGATATTGATACTTAGAATACAGATTCGCATCAAACGCTGTCGACTTGTGTCGACGTGGACTTATATAATATGGGTGATTGTTTGCGTTCAAATTTTAAGATATGGACCTGGGATATTTGGGTGATACGAACTACAATACCTTTTAAGATAGTTGGGAAGTTAAATATTTGTATACACTACGTCGAATTTTAGGTAGCCCTGTAAAAGGTTGCCTTTTTAAAATCAAAATTATTTTTTTTTTCTCCAATCAAAAACTATTCTTACATAATTTTTCAAACTTTACAAAATTTCAGTAAGCTGGATGATTAGGAATCAGTATTCATCATCCTTATACACTTTTACTTAAATGTCAATGTACATCGACGATGATCTTTGTCCTGTAACATACGCAGGAAAGTATTTTTGTTTGGTACTTTGGATTTTAGGTGAGTTCCTTAGGACAAAATAAGTTTGTATAGAAGCCCGGCATAAGACAATCAGTTAATGAAGTATCTTATTAAGTATGTTATCGAATATAAAAACATACATCGTGTCTTGGGCCGATGTAGATTTGAACTTTAGCTTTTCACGCATAAGTTGGTGTTGAGAAAGCTTGAGGCTTTATATAATATTAATAAAAATATAAACTGTTGCTAACATTTAATTTACTCACTTTCTTTTACGTGATTAATTTCATCATCGGTGTCATTTTCAGAAGAAGATGTCGAGGCGTTGTTCCTAGATTGCTGTTTTAATGGTTGTTCATCTAAGTCGTAAAGAGATAATGTTTCGTTGCGTTCGTCACGTTCACTATCGTGATTTTTTCGGGCTGCTAAAAATTGTAAACGCTTTATAATCATTTGGTGGCATATTTATAATAAAAATTACCCAAATTAGAAGGCAGTAATGATTCAGCAAATATCTCTTCGTCGCTTTCGGTCTTTGTTAATTCTTCAGTGTCTAGAGCAAACCTTCTCCATGGTATGTATTTTTTTGTGTTGTAGCATTTTTCTACCCACGAGCGCGTTACGATTTTTCCTTTACCCTTTATTTGGTTATATTTTGGCGTATTTTTAAATGCACATCTAAAAATAATCGCCAAATTATATATTATTTTTAAGGGTTTACACCAAGCTAGCGAAAAAAAACTAAAATTTTTACCATTTTATACTGATCACAATAATAATTGGAAATTTATGGTTCCCATGTTACAAAATATTACCAAAGTTTGTTTAAATTTAATATTTACTTTTTTACATATACAGTACCTATAGCGACATTTTGTATTTCAATAACAGCTTAATAACGATTCAAAAAGATGCTTGAGGAAATTTGGAACTCTTTATCTTGGGAAGCATGAATTTCCCACAAAATATGTATGTTGTTGTAATCAGGATCAGGAGGTAAAAATTTGTTTTATTTTTCCGCTAGCTGATTGTAAACTCAATTTAAGCCAACTTTTTCCACATTTTCGAAACAACATACATCAAATGAGTACAGGTATTATCCCAATCTGATTTGTACTTTGCACCTAAAGCCAGAGCTTTACTTCTCAAATCGGCCCTATCAGGGTTTTGAATGCCACTGATTACTAAAACTACTCCTTTAAGTAGTAGGTTGAAGGGCTTGTATTTTATTTCTGAAGGTCTGATCTTTTTTGCAGGCTTCCTATTTGGCGAACTCGAACGCTTTTTGGCAGGCTCATTTTCTAAGTTATGTGGGTTAACCGTTTGTGGCTTCTCTTTTCTGTTATTTCCTGTGGAGTGTTGCGGTAATATGTCCAGTGATTTACGTTTTTCTTTTTCTTTTATTTCTTCACGCTTTTTTGCTTCAATCCTCCGTCTTTCTTTTTCAGCCTCGATTTCCTTGGCCAGTCGAGCTTCTTTTTCTGTATTCGTATCATCTGCGACTCCAAACATCAAATCATAGCGATTCCTGTCCCGCACTTCAATTTTTGAGTTTTTAAATGAATCATTTGATTTTATTTCTTTAAAATTTTCACGGGATTGTTTTTCGCAGCTACTGTTGGCTGCATTTCTAATGGAAGCTGCCGCAGAGTGTTCATTTGCATCTTTGTTAGTTTTCCAGCGATTAAATAGGCTGGAAACTCCGCTGGTTTCCGAATCAGGTGAATCTTCTCGTAATTTAAACATTCCAATTTGTAGTGGGGTTGGTTTAGCATCTATTTCCTTCGCAGGTGCCAGCCCTGTATCTTTTGTAGAGTTTTTTGATGCAACGTGTACTTTAACAAATGAAAGACCATATTGGACGTGTTTATTAAATGGTTGTGTACAAATTATTTTGAGTAAAGACCACTTCTTTTCTGCTACGCTGGGTACCAAAGCATCCGTGCAAAAACATCTCACTCTATTTGGATTATTCGAACTTCTACTTTCTATTGGAGTCATAAAGGAACATGTTATTAAAATTTCCTACAATAAATATAAAAGTTGACTTTAGTTTGCGGTAATAGAAATCAGAATTCAATTGACATTACTGTGAAATCATCAGGAGTCGACGTGGATTTTCCCACCAAAACCTCAATAAAGGCCGAATGTTCGTTACCAATATCGATGCCTGTGATCTGCTGAGCTTCATCTAATTCAAGTATAACGTAAGCCGATTTCTCTCCCACTGACTTGGTTTTCCATTTCTTTCCTTGAGACGGTTTTATCAAATTTTCCGCCAAATGATGCTAGAATATTTGTAAAGAGAAATATTCTTCAGTATTCTTTGCCATGCAAATAATGTAGATTCTAAACACTTTTGTACATACATCATCCTCGCTGCTAACTTCTCGTATTCTTGAAAAGGACGCAAATGGCATATTGTAACTTAGTTTGGAATATTCATAAATTGGCAAAGCGAAACAAAATGACCGCGAAATATACTGTAGATTCAGTTTAAATATTCGCACTTTACTTCAACCAGCAAAAATTCATTCTTCAATGGCTTTCTGCAATTTATATTTTTAGTTTGATCTATTTAATACGTTTTTTTATAGATCTAAACAATTAAGCATTAAATGTGAAATACGGTTGTAAAGTTTCGTTGTTACCCCTGTTCAAGTAATGTGTGCAATACCAATGTTCTTGTTAAGGTGAGATGGGTTTTTTGTTATTGTGGTTGTTGTAGAACAGAGCGAATACTCGCGTGGAAACCAAAATGAAACGAATATGAAAAAGTAATACTTAAAAAATAAACAGCAGAAGTCCGGGGCACTCTGTTGTTTATGAATGATATATGAGGAAAACTGAACACATTCAGAATATTCTTTGAATGGAACGACCAGAACTAGATAAAGCTCTTTCTCTTTAGTTCCCGCGTTTGTTTAAAATAGACCTACCGAGACCTGTCATGCAAAATTACTCGCTTCATAGTAAAATGTTTTGTACGTGCCTAATTACCCTAATTCGCATGGTCCCTACCGTCAATGCAACAAAATTAAAGCACAGTAAAATTAAAAAAATAAAAAAATGTTCTAAATGTATTTTTGAAATTTGACGAGGTAAATTACAGAAAATGCAGAGATGGATAAGCTTATTTGAAATGACCTTACCTTCTTAATTTTACCATGAGTAGACCGAAATATGGTATAATTATTACAGGTAACAGCAAGTCCCAGCTGATTTGTTTTCGTGATTTAATTCCATTTCTTGATATACAATAGGTGTACCCTTTTTTTATATAAAATTTCACTGCAGGGCAATGTGAACATATTGTAGCCTAATAATAGAAAACTTAGTAAAACGCCAAAGGCGTAGTCCGGATACTTTTTTGCGGTTAAGGAACAGCGACACCATGCTAATATATTCGTATAATATATTCGTATATTATATGTATATACATGTTTCCTAAAATTACTTTATGTATGTATGGCGTTTGGTTTCAACTTGAAAGTGATGTTGCTTTTTCCGCGATATTCTAGCAATTGCTTGAATTGTTGAGAGATTAGGATTAGATTAGAGATTAGGACTAACAACTATACACTCAGGGGAATGATGTGAAAGCATTAAAATTAAGTATTTAAAGAACTATTCTTCTGCATTTTCAATTTAATAATCCAAATTCCAAAAATGTATATTTTTGAAAATAAAATAATTTATTGAAATTGGACATATAACTCTGACACTTGTATTACGTACGAAAACAAATTTGTACGTGGTTGTTGTTACAATTGCTGTTACCTGTATTCTTCTACCATGGGTTAACTGGAATATTGAGATACACGAAGTTTGATGAAAATCTCTAACTCGTTTTGCATAAGGGTTATAATAATTTAAAATGTACCAGATGTATTGGACCGATGTTGCCCATCCCCAAAATTGGTATTCAATTCAAATTTAAAATTTCATCCTTCGAAAATTACCCACAACTCTATAAATAGTGGAATAGAGAACATTAAAATTCTATTTTTATCTATAGTGCCATGAACCTCAATTCTCGTTCTATGAAAATGTGAAATGAATAATTGTGTAAAGTAATAATTGTGAAATGAAAAGGTTTATGAAGTAAATATTTTTCATTTCATGTTTTACAGCGTTACCTAAAATTCGACGTACTCGGTCGACGTATTTTACACACAAGTAAAACACATGTATTTATATGAGAGGTACCCAAATACGTCGGGCGTTGAACATTTTCAACATTGACAATTAAACAATTATTTTTTTGTGCGTTGAAAAAAGGTGTCAAATATATTTTAAAATATGCAACAATTGATTTCGTTTATTTTACTTTTTACACAAGTTACGATATTGGGGAAACCCCACAAAATATGAATGAAATATTGGGGTTCCTCCACAAAATTGAATCCAAGATGGAGAGATAATGTTGTTTCATCCCAAAATAATACATTTTGTTGCCCGTTAACGTGGAAAATATGCATTTTTGTTGCATCTAAATTTTAAATAATTTCAAATAATTATTTTTAATTCAACACAATACATACTCATATACATATATGTTCACATTATGGACACATTGGTCAAATCTTTGTTTTCCGGCAAATAATTTTGTTTTTCCAAAATCAGCTGTTTTTGTATTTACCGTCAAATAATATTTGGTGGTCAGATTGTGACAAAGAAATATTTCACATTTTCCGTCAAATATTTGCCCAATGTGACCTTACCTTTAGTAATGAACATGATAATTCTTGTCCAAAACCAGCGGGTTAACCCATTTATATGTAGGTAATATAGTCGAATATTTCATGTTTCCTAAAATTGAAAAATGTAGAATACTTTATGGTATGTGCAATTTGATTTTAATTGGAAAGCGATGTTGCTTTTGTCCACGAGCCAACAACTATTCATTCAGGGGAATAATATGATAGTATTAAAATTTAATATTTTAAGAACTTTTCTTCTGCATTTTACATTTAAAAATGTATATTTTTGAAATTAAAATAATTTATTCAGGGCAGTCATAGAAACCAATTTTGTCACTATTGGTTTTAAAAACGACAAGAAAAAATGCTTTGGTGTCATGAAAATCAATGTTATTGGTTTTATTTTCGAATTAGAATTTTTTCGGTTTTGGTTGTCATAGAAGCCAATGTTATTGGTTTTGTTATTGGAAATAAACCAAGTTGCTTAGAGCTGTCACTTTTCATTGGCTTTGGATTTTTTAAACAATTTTTAAAGGATATTCAAAGGACTAAAAATGTGGATTTTTAAAAAATTTTTAAAGTATATTCAAAGGACTAAAAATGTGGATTTTTTAAAGAATTTTTAAAGGACATTTAAAGGACAATAAACGTGGATTTTTTAAAGGACTATAGACGTAGAATTTTTAAAGGACTATAGACGTGGATTTTTAAAGGATATTTAAAGGACCATAAACTTGGATATTTTAAGGATTTTTTAAATAATTTTTAAAGGACCATAAACCATAAATCTGCAAAGCAGCTTTATGAGTAAGTTGACATTAAAAAAAAATTACTTACGGTATCTCCGGCAACTCCAGTGGGTTGCTGAAATCTCTAAGAGCTTTTCTCGTCACCTTTTCTGAGCGTTCTTCGTCCAACAACACAAAAACTACCACTGACTTATTCCTTTTTTTTATTTACATTACTTTTACTGATATTTCAATGACAAAACCAACTTGGTTTCATGACACCAAATGAAACTAACATCGGTTTACAAACACGACAATAAGCAAAACCGACATGGTTTCTGTGACAGCCCTGATTAAAAGTTAATTGTTTTGCTTACATTTTAGGACATATAGCTCTCACACTTGTATTATTTTGGGTAAAATTCGTGTTCGTATTCGTATTAATACAAATGTTTTACTTCTGTGGTGAAAACTGTCGACCGAATACGTCGAAATTTAGGCAACGCTGCAAAACAACCTCTCATTTTATTGGCAGTAAATGTATAGGATGAGTTACGGTTTGTCTTGCTCCATATACTTGGCAGAGGTTTATAATACTAAATCCTTTAGATTTCAAATGTCAATTTCATAGTGTATACGTCACGTAAAACGTATTCATAAATCCAGTGGGTATTATTTGACGCATAAGTAATGGAATTGACATTTAAGATCTAACAAGTGTGTATGTGTTCGAAATTGTCAGCTTCTTCTAAAGGCAGTAAGACCTACCCATTTTTACATCACGATCGATCGAAAAAGGAAAACATTGGAATACTGATGAAAAACAAAAGAACAGCATAAACAAATGAATAAGAGAGCAGAAATTAAACAAAAATATAAGATTTTCATAGTTGTTTGGCAATTGTCAGGAACCCTATGCCACAAAGATGAATTCTGGTATTTTAACAACTTATGAAGGTAAAAGCAGGAAGATTCCCACAAGCAAAGGTTGCCAGACAAAATGATCCAGTTTTAATGGTAATTCGAAAAAAAAAATTATGTTGAAATAGTAAATATTTTAATGTATACGCCTCAGGTCAAGCAAAACCAAATTGCTAAAACCAAATCTTGATATCAACTTGGTAAGCAATTTAGAATTCGAGAACAAATATTTACTTCAAAGTTTCGTAAAGTTGGATATTGCGGCAGTCGGCACTTTTAATGATACTTAGTTCGTGTTTTCAACCTCAATATCAGTGATAACAACCATTTTAATGTTATATTGGCCAGCATAACTGTACTACTGTGTATATTATTTCCTAAGAGCAAGAAATCTATTATAAATGGTCATAGTGGACAAAAACCGTCACAACTAAATGCTGATATAAATTTAAAAAAATACTGTCATAACTGTGGTCGGCAGTAAGCGCTGAAACTCATTGACTCACATTTTTCTGTTTTCATTTTTGTGTTATTTATATATTGACTACCTGAATCTGGTGCGCTTCGCTACCCCTTTTGATTTTAAATGCATTCAAAGTTTTATATACGAATATTTGTTGGTTACAAAGAAAAAATAAAACAAATTCAAAGATTAAAAAAAACTTAATTATTGTAATACTTTAATGCGTAAACAAACAAAAAGCGCTTTCTACCAACGCGTGGACATGCCAGGAACAGCTGACAATGAGAAAAGCAGGAACATGCTGAATTTAGTTCGCATACACGAAGGGTTTGTCCTTAGGATTAATTTCAAAGCAAATGCCAAGAATCCAGGAAACCGCAATCTTTTGAAGTTGAGTGACATTTCTGTTGCAATTAGAGGTAGCAACATACTTCCCCGTAATAATCGCATTCTCAATTAAATTGTTGTGTAGTTTTTCAACTGTTAGCCTTATACCATTGCAAAGGCGTTGTGGGTCAATGCATGGTACAATGAAGAGAAGGTAGGTCAACTTTGAAAAAATTGCAAGTATAGAGGTCTACCTGTTTGGCTTGTAATGTCAAAATTAGTATCAAAACAATAAAAAATCAAACAACTTGTTGCATTTATTTTGAATAAATAATTGAAAACCGCGATAACTGAATGAAAAGTCAACACTTCTTTTCAAAATCATGTACTATATATCTCTTAAGGATTATTTCGCTACAAAAACTCTAGATTTTGTCGATGCATACGTTGAAATAATCATTTTGAAAACATCCGAATTTGAATATTTTCTGAACAATTTTTTTGTTATTGAAAAGAAAACACATACATAAACAAATAAAGATGACATATTAAGCCAAGAAAAAAAAAAAAAAATAAAATCATATGGTATCATAGCCCTACCTTGATATCATTGTACCATGGTAATACCCATGGTACAATAAAAATGTAAGGTAGAGTGCCCGACTTTTGTCAATTTTGTGTATGTATTTATTGTTAT